ACAGCGCATTTCATTTTACAACCTGCACCAAAGATTCCGCAACATGAAGTGAACATTGTAATAGCGGATAGGATTAGAACGATCGTTGATAAAGGAGTGAACCATAGTTTCAAGTTTACGACGCTGGCGATGATTGGAATCATATGGCTCTTTGTGACAGTAAGGTTCACTTCTTTAAACATCTCCGTGTTGATAATGCACCAGACGCAAGCGCCACAGACAATGCTTGCCATTGAAAAGAATGTAACATTTGTGCAGCTAAGGCAAGTCCGGGGTAAACTAGTTGTGTGCATTTTGTTTAAAATTCTTGCACCACTAAAATAACCATATAAAAATTATATTTTTTCGATGTCATTTTGACGTATGATTGACAAGACATGATTTGACATTGTAAAATACGATTTTGATAATCTATGATTTTCTAATCGTATTCGGAATAGTTTTAATAAGTGAAAAAATATTTACATATTATTTATGGCCGCGGAGAAAAAATAAATACAGTCAGACCTGGATAACCGAGAGTCCAAGAGACTGCGATATTATTCTCGTTCACAGAGGTTATTTACCCGAGTTTTTGATGACTCTCGTTTATCCTGGATCGAATTTATAGTCAATTAATGTAGAATATGTAATGGATTTAACTTTTAAATAACATTAGTTTATATGACCACTAAGACAGATGCAGAAAGTTGCAATAAGAAAGGAGATCATGGCGACCTCATAGGGATGCTATATTTCTGGTCAGACTGTCAGTCTTACCTGTTTAACAGAGTTGTTAGTCCTACTGAAAGATGTGAGTAGATCAGGTGCATTGCGTTGCTGTTGAGTACCAGTGCCCAGGGTGTAGTTGGAGTTAGTTCCCCACACATATACATCGCTGGGCTGGTCCCCGATGTGCTTGTACATGTAGTGGCGATCCAGCATCGCATGTTCTAATGCGGTGTAATCATCTTTATCAACTATATCTGTGTTTACACCTAAAACATATATTTTTTAGCTATAGAATGCTAACTAAAAACTAGCTTTTTCAAGCTTTGTAGAAACCAAAGATTAAGTACTTATGTTCACTGATGTTTTTATGAGAGAAAAAATAATAATCACAAGTTACATTTTACTATATATCTTACTAATATTATAAATTTGAATGTTTGATGAATGAATGTTTGCCTCAGACCTCAACGGATTTTGAAGAAATTTGGCACAGATGTAGCACATAGGCTGGAAGAACACCTAGGCTATTTATCAAGTTTTTTAATAATGCGCGGACGGAGTCGCGGGAGACAGCTACTTATCAATGAATTTTGTACAAAATTTACCTAATTTCATCAGAGCAACTGTTGAATGTATTTGACCATAGAAAATAGATCTATGTAATGGAGTATATCCAGATTCGCGATCGCGTGCATTCGCAAATGCCTCCATGGAGTGTCGAAATAGCCATTCCATCAGCTTGTTCCTGCCTCGAGAAGCTGTCATGTGCAATGCAGTGCGTCCCTGAAATATTACATTGCGTTAAGAATAATATAATCTCTACATATGGGTAGAGTCATTAATCTTTTCTCTATTTTAGTCTTAAAATGTAAAGAATCTTTGGTTTATATATTTACATAAATTAATAGTTTTAAAATCATTTTGCCAGGTGTAAATCATGATGATGACAGACAATAAAGTGATCCTATAAGGGTTCCGATTTTTTCCTTTGAGTTATGGAACCCTAATTACAAAAATGTTGAATTATGTAAAGAATGGAAGGTCAATTGATGAATACACTACTTTCTGTGTATATTTGACATAAATTGCATAACATTTTAGATGTTTGTGCAATACACATTGTTGGCAAATTGTCAAGTGTAATAAACTCAGTGATATTACTTCAAAATATTTAACTTTTGCTATCATTATTTAAATTATTTGCTAGAAAATTCTAAATAACTTTGATAGAGACTATATTATAAGTTTTCAAATTGATGTAATTAAATACTTACTTCATAATCAAAAGCCTTGGTGAAATTAGCACAAGTTGCCTTAATAAAGCTTGCTAAGGATTCATCATTCACAGATCTCTTGGTTATGGCACTTGTCAGAGCTTGTCCATGACTTTTAGACCTACACCTTCTGGTGCAGTCTACATCTATATTTATTTTACTCATTTTCTAATTATAATCGAAAAAATATTAAAAAAAATATCATCCACTTTTTTGGTCCAATAATCTTCTATGTATATTTAATTTTACCAGGTACCACAATGATATGAAAATTATTTACATGAACTTAAGACTACACTAGAGCAAATGCTCTAATGTAGCTCCAAAAGGAGCTACAAATATACTTTTAGAAGCACATAATGTTTGTGTCGGCCCACTGAAAATAAAAGATATCTTATTAGCATTTAGATAATGTTATACAAGAGCAAAAATAAATTGTAAAAAACATTTACTGGTTGATTCTTCTCTTAAAAAATAATGGATGTTCTCGCTTTCTACATTTTTTATGAAAAGGTATCATAAGATTACACTTTTAATACTTATTTGGCAAAATAAATCTTATCAGAATTGTTTCACAATTATGACGTATACCTTGATAAATTTTCAGACCGGTATTTTAACTTAGAAAATTGACATTAAATAACTAGCAAAACACAAATTATAATAAATTTTTAAAGAAATTCACAGCGTTTTCTTATAAAATGAATCTTATAAAAATAGCATTACCTTTATACGTAAACAGATGTACGAATAGATCCGGTTACTGAGAAAAAGATACCACTCATATTTCACGTTACACAACCGGTTGTTAGGCACATAAGATGTAGTCTAACTGTTATAACATAAAATAACAAGTAAAATTAGTGAAATAGGAAATTTGTAAAATTATGCACCTCTATCATTAACCGCTGCCAGTAATGACAAACTTCCAATTTGTCATTTCCCAAATTGTCAAAATTAGAAAAAGATAAGAGATAAAAAGTTAGCAACAGACTAAAATTGCAATGTAATTTGGGTTTAGTTGGTTTACAAAGTATGTGCAAACGAATTTTCAAAATAATTTCTAGTAGTGGCAGTTTAAATCATTTTAATGTTTTAAAATGTAATCAAATTGTTAAGAATTATAAAAAATAGAATTGATTTCTATTGCATAAAACTTTTTAAACTGGTGTGCGACCCATATGTACAAAATGTCAAAATAGCAGATGATTGACAGATGGCTTGAATGAAAATTCTGTATTGTGTAATCGAAAAGCAAAAAGCAAAACCCAATTCGGGAATAAATAGTCGCCAATTTTAAAATGTTTAAGGTTTTGAGTCATACGACACGATTGTCCCGACAAGCTGTATCGGGGTAATTTTTAAATATTAATAGACTTTATGCTTCCACATACTCGTGTACTATATATGTTATTTTTATTTCTAGACCTTCGTATTTGCTATCTAATACAAGATTTGCTTCAATCAATGATCCCATATCTCGAAAAGAAGCTCCAAAAATCGATAACGAAACAGTTATAGCTTTGCCAGAGGAAGCAAAAGAAAAAAGTGCTCTTGAGTCTACAATAACTGTCCCTAAGAAGGCAAGTATTATCAGTTTGATCATAGATAAGTTAATGAGTGAAAACAGTCAATCTATAATGGAAACTACTTTGACTAAATGTTTGTTGTGATATTGAAGGACAGTATATCAATTTTTATATATATTTTTACAATACAATTGCATTAATAGACAACTAATTTCACCCAAATTACAATTTTAGGTTGATATTACTCCAATTTCTGGTGTCCCAGAGGAACATATCAAAACTCGCAGAGTCCGCATTTACCAGCCACCCAAAAATGCTATGCAGAGTGGTACAAACAATATCCATCACTGGGAAATGGAATTTGATAATCGCCAACGTTGGGAGAACCCATTGATGGGTTGGACTTCCACAGGAGACCCACTATCGAACATGAAGGTTCAATTCTCATCCCCTGAAGATGCGATAGAGCACTGCGAGAAGAACGGTTGGATCTGGTATCTGGATACTCCGAAGTTAGAAAAAGAGTTCAAGCCCAAGAGCTATGGAATTAACTTCTCATGGAATCGCCGTACTAGAGTATCAACAAAGTAATGTTTTACATTCTTTAGAAATATGTAGAAATACAGAATAATATGTAAATTTGATAGTGTCATTTATTTAAGAACCTTTCAATCCTTAACTTATAGGTTAATTTCAATAAATTAAATTATGTTTTTATCTTTTTTTTTAAATTATTAATGTCCCTTGAAGCAACAATTGTGTGCCAACAATGTCAGAACCTGAGAGAAAGTTCTGTAACTGAAAAGAATAATGGTGATGGGAAAACTCCTAATTTTGTAAATCTACTGTCTGAGACTTTTTTCTTTAGTAAATCTCCTATTTACTTGCATCCTTTACATTACACAGACCTCAAGAACCTTAACACTTTCTATTGCTTGTTTTTTTCTTTGAATTTAAATATTTAGTATAATAGCTCATTGCTTTAATTATCATCAATTTTTATATTGAATTTTTACTACTTAGGGTGTTTGATAAATTGTGATATGGCGACATCTAACGGCCAGATTGTTAAATCTAGTTTACAAGTATTACTTCAGTAAAGAGGTTAAGGCCTTAGTCTTGACAAAAGAGGACGCTTTTCTATTATCACATATTATTTACTACTTGTTTTATAAGAATAATTAATAAGGTGAGTTAGGGACTTGTCTTAAGGAACTCTTTCCTCTTTTTGGCCTTGCAATAAGCGAATAATGCACTCGTTTCTTTCCGTTCTCATAGTAAAGATTACAAAGCGAATTTTGTTAGTGTTTATTAAGTATAAAAAAATAAAGTTTAAATTCCGTCTAATAAGTCTTAGAAGTATGTAATTGGATATGATAATTGAATACATTTAATAGCGGACGGCAGAGCCGTGTTCTAACTTAATTAATTTTGCAAAGTTGGAGTTGAAGGCGGGCATAATCCTATAACGTACGTTGAATATTTTAATTATTAATATGCAAACCTATTACATTTCGTATAACATCGAATGCTATGTGAGGAATATTGTAGATAAAGACTTTAACTAATATTGTAATTTTTGAATTTTTGATCAAAGTTTGAGATAATTTTAATTTTAATGTTTGCGGTAATAAACCCCAATATCAAAGAAAATTAATAATTTACTTCTTAAAATCTTACTAATATTATAAATGCGAATGATGGATGGATGTTTGTTTGAAGGTATCCCCAGATCGGATGAACGGATCTCGATGAAGTTTTGTATACATAAAGAACATAGTCTGGAAGAATAGATAGCCTACTTTTATAGTTTTTTTAATTCCGCGCGGACGAAGTCGCGGGCGACCGCTAGTGATTATATAAACTTTAAGTTACCGACGTTTCATGAACTTCTTGCGGACTTTAAAGTAGTGACGTATTAGGGGAATTTTGAAATTCAGATTTGTGACAAAAGTATATTGTATCAAAGAGTCTGATGATGTGATTTTATTCTTAAAACATAAGCAACCTTCAAATCATCATAGTGTACTTTACTTTTTTATTTGCTTTTATAATCTACTTATGATAAATGTCTTGTACTAATTGTGCGTTAGAGTTTAAGTTTTCCCGTATCGTAATACAATGCGCCCGCATTGTCTGTTCATTACATAGAGCTAACGACGCCATCGCGTGTGTTTGTATGCGGATAAATTATGCGCTGATGAATCACCGACTACCCACATGCAAACGTTCATTTCAATTTTGCTACGTACACAGTGACTATGTAAACAGTATTCAATTTAAATATCATAGGATAATAGAAAATCAATAAGTTATCGGACATAAATAGCTTAGTGTGCAAGAACTAAATGTAAACAGACAATGAAACAACGCTAATGTGAGAAAAGTTTTGGAATTCCTGAATTTAAGAAAGGTAACACGTCTATTCATTTACAGTATTACATATTTTTATTAACAATTAACATTACAGTAGGTTTTTATTACAACGAAAGCTTATTATACTAATATTATAAAAAGAAATGATTTGATTGTTTGTGTATTTGCATTGAATAGGCTTGGAAACTATTGAATCGATTTGAAAAATTCTTTCAGTGTTGGGAAGCTATATTGCCTCGGTTGGAATAGGCTATGTTTTATACCATATTTTTTAATTGCGCAGAAGAAATTGCGAACAACAGTTAGTAAGTAATGATTCATAAGTTATTTCAAACTAGCAGTCGCAAGCAACTCCGTCCGCGTGAATATATAAAAAACTTAATTAGTGTAGCCCACCCATCCATCCATCAACATCACATCCACCTAAACATTCGCATTTATAATATAAGAAAGTTAAATAAAAATCGGCTTTTCAAAAAAAAGGAATAAATAATATCCTATGTCCGTCTCCTGGCTTTGAGCTACCTCCTCACCAATTTTCAGCCATATCGGTAAAGCCGTTCTTGTGATAAATAGTGTAACTAACACGACTTTCTTTTATATATATACATAGATTTTTATAATTTGTTTGTATAATGTAAAGTCTCCACGCTGTCTATTTTACAGCCTCAAAGGTTACAATGCATAATTTATGTGGGAGCTTTAGTTTTACGAGTGCTCTGTACAACTTGGCTGAGTGCTTATATAGTAAAATTTTATTAAGCTTTGTTACTGTTCAAGATATTTTGCTTATGTGAGATTTCAAAATAATGTAATCTTACAACGGATATACATATGCCAAATACTTTTTGAAAAATTCCGTAAGTCGGCTGTAGAAAATGTTATTTAGGTTGTAACCATAAATTAATCCACGAAATTGTAACGAAATCATATTTCGTTTATGTAAGTGCCCGTGATGAAAAAATTTTACGCTTACTAACGTAACTCATTACTAGATCACTTGTTAGAAATAAAAATCATAGCTGGTAAGGCATTTTATTGACGTGAATTTCCATTGCTGGAAAACCTTTTTTGGTTTAGGTGAAATTGGGTTGAGTGGGGTTTTACCCACTTAAACTTCCTCGATTGTTATGCTCTAGTGCGAGGAGCGGGGGCTGCAGGATCTCCAGTGGAACGCAACCCGTGGTAAAAACTGTAGTCGTAGCGTAGGCGTAGCCGTAGACGTAAACGATTACGTAGACATAGCGTAGGAGTAATTGTAGCGGCAGATGTAGACGTTAACGGAAACTTAAAAGTTTAAACACAAAAGCTTAGCTCTTTCGATTTGTCTACAATCGTAGCACTTTTGATTCTATTTTGTAACATAGATAATTGTTGCTTTCAAAGTTTGTGTCCTAAAAAAAATTGCGTTAACTTCACAGGCACTTGTGGTTCAGTAGACAAGTACTGCGACGTAAGTGGCAGTCACCCGACACTTAACAAAGTTTGAGTATCTAAGTACGTGCTTGTTTCGCTGGAGGATTATAACTTTGTCACGGCACACCTGCGCCCATTCATTTATAACTACCCTCGCCGCAATGTTAATGACATAAACGCTTACCACATTCTCTTGTAGACTTTTCAAATTAATTGACATTGAATGTTGTGTCTTTTTAGGATGTTTAGCTCGATACTATGTAGTCTCATTGACTTTTAAAAATAGCAACAATGTTAATCTTGAAAAAGATATAACAAAAATAAGAATATATAAAGTATTTAAGGCTCTCTAGGTTGATTCTACGTTTATAGTATAAAGATTTTCCCATTAGACGTTCTTATTTATTTATTCATAAATTATGGTTATCCAAACTTTAAATCGCTTCGGCGACCACTGCAAAGTAATCAATAACCTGTTGATATGACAAAAGTAGCATCCACCTGTTGAGCTTTGATAAGCAACTGTTCAGATTTACTTACGATAAGATACCACTTTAAAGAGAGCACAATTCCTTAAGAACAAAAAAGATTTGAACAGCTTTTCACATTTGTCATATTTTTATTTCGTTATCTATATATTTATAAATAAATTGTTGTTCTTTAGTCTGTCTAAAAATCGGGAATATCTGAACGGATTTATCTTACATTGGCCTTGAAATGTTCGTGGAGTTCTAGGGAAGGTTTTAAAAGGTGAGAAAAAATCGAATAATTGCCGGGAACTAATTAAGTTTTTTTTATTCCACGCGGACCGAGTCGCAGGCGACAGATAGTTTTCAATAAAAATACTGTAGTGTTAATCTTTTTTTTGAATTGTCAGTTTCTGTTTATTAAGTATTATTTCTATTAAAGGTTGTGTAAACATAACCCAAAATAACGTTTGCATTTAATTCATCAATGTTGCAGCTACGGTAAGGGTTGTACAATCACAAGGGGCTTAAATTAAATTGAAGCTTGTAATAGTCCGGAGGATCAGAGCGGAATTATATCATTTAATTTACAAAGTTAATTACGAGATAGTATTCATATTGTTAGACTTGCGACATCGCAATACACTTTCCAAGCTCTTATGTTAACACTAGCTTTTGCTACTACGCGGTATTAAAAAAACTTAATTAGTAACCTATGTGTTCTTTCAGACTATGTTCTATATCTAGGCCAAATTTCAGAGAGATTCATGCAGCTTTTCTGGAGATATCTCCTAATAAACCTCCAACCATACATCGAAACATTCATATTTATAATATTATTTAGTAAGATTTTCTTTGCTTATCCACTTATATATTTTTAGATTGCTGAAACCTTACGCTAATTTTACCTTAACACTGTCACATTCCAATAAGAAATTCAAAAGTCAAGGGTCAAGTGAGTTTGTAGAATATATAACACAACTACGAAGATATACCTAAGGGAACAATTCAACAAATTTGTAAATCCAGTAGTTAAGTAACGATATGTTAAGAAGAGCTAATAAACTGTTTACATTAAATGTTTACCCGCTTTTTGAGTTGTCGCTTACATAAACACAATTATGCAAATCCCGCATCACGTTATTAGCATCTGAAATTAGGTCACTCAGAGACCGCAACATGATTTTGGTTAATGTTTTTCTCTACTCTTCTAACCTTTTTTTCAATATTCCTATAATTTTCATTTTTAGTATTATAGCGTCAGAATAAGGGTAATTTGTGATTTTGTTTTATTTTATTATTTTTTTAGGGTTCCGTACCTCATAGGAAAAAAACGGAATCCTTATAGGATCACGTTGTCTGTCCGTCCGTCTGTCTAGACCCTT